CCTTCATTTGGTATGAAAGTGCATTTAGAAGAGATTCGTAGGTTGATCTCTTCAGAAGACAAGGTTGACTCCCGTTTTACTGCAGCCGTTTGGCTTTAATACGATGTTTAGGTTGATGAAGTCTGCGAGAAATCTTCCCTCTGATTCGGGTGAAAACGGGCTGAGCTTTCGCTCATCGTATGATGGACATCATTAGAGCTGAAACTCATTCTTATCAAAGTTTCACGTTAACATTAGGCCAATAAGACTATCCGGCTCTATCTAAACTCTTATATATACTCATAACCAAAAGCGAAAATGAGCAGGCATAAATAGATATAGTATGGTTTTGCTATTTATCTTTCATGCTGGTCCTGCTACTTTTGCTCGAGTATGTGTGTTATTATCTATACTCAATATCGGCAATTAATGAAAGTTATTTGAGATCATATCACATTTTAGTTACTATATATAGGTGAAAACAAAGAATTGCTATTACGAGTTGTAATTCCTGCAAAATTATTTCCAGATAAGATGTGCTAAGCTCCTTAAGTCTTGGAAGAAAGAAAAATAAGACCTGAAACACTAACGGACATTTTCGACACACAAAGCTATGGCTCTAAATCGAAAAGATTCTTTAAAATATAGACTCACGGATTCATGACAGCTTCATCAGGGATGGACTCAAACATATCCTCTATAAAGTTCTTTGGATACCTCTGTTCCATCGGCAGAGTGAAATCTCGTTGTCGAGCTAACCGCTTGGCCAGATTGAGAAGCTCGGAAGAAACGTCGTTGGATCCGGATGGCACAGATATCCACTCATCACAGTCACCATCTGCTTTGAAAATCAGAGACTGGAAATCTGGACTAATCTGATGCTTATCTCCATATTTAATATTCTGCCTCAATGATATAACCGGTTGCTGATTACATGTCTGATGACTTTGGGGTAGGCATCTTGTCACTTCAGCCTTCACATTCAGTAAACTTATATCCTCAGACGCATTACTTGGAGGAGAGTCTGCGAAGAGATCGGCTAAGTTGTCTGATGTTTGGGAGTCCCCAAGCTGCTCAGCGGATACTTTGGGTGAGGTGCCAAAATGATCCTCCATATAGTTGGGACATAGCGGTATCACCTTTCTACTAATTAAAGGGCAATTATCAGGATTTTCTGCTTTCTCCATCATTAACCCCGGTTCCTTGCCACCAATTGTTCTTCTGTTCTCAATCTTTGTCTCTGTTTCATCGTCCTTGATTGAGCTTGTCTGTGAGTCGGCTTCTGCTGCAAAGTCCAGGCTATTGGCTGATGATGCGAGACTGGGAGACAGCTGACCAAATAGACAAGGAGGTCGCCTTGTCAACTCACACCATGTGGCTCGAAATCCTACACTTGGTGCGGTTGATTGGAGATCGACTTCAAGCTCTGAGTCACTCAGGCGAGTTTGGTCCATGAGCACGGAATTAGGTGTCGGTGGCTGGTAATTAACTGTCTGTTTGTTGGCAAAGGAATCGACAAATCCGGTCGCCCGGAGATAGGCAAGTTGGCGCAAGGTACGCTTACAATGCAAGAAGAAAAGTGGAGTTCATTTTAAATGACATGTAAGTTGTTTATAACTCTGCATGTAGTTCCCATCATACTTATGTTATTTTAAATATTATAACATTCAGAAACCCAAAGCATGGTTTTCCTCTGATGTGTTCAGAAAAGACAAATGTAAAATATAAGAATGTAAATCTTGATTTCGCATACTTCTCCTGACAGCCCATCATTTTAGATATGAAGAGTAACTGGGCTTCGATTAATCTCCTGAGAGAAAAATATTGGTGAGAACTTCATTTTGCATGAAAGTGCATGGAGAATATATTCGTGAAAAGTGGGTTGATTTCGTTTTCGCATCTTGGTTTTGTTGTCAGGGCGACTTAGTAGAACACATCTTGTCCGAAGTCCTCTGCCAGAGCAGCCGTTTCGCTTTAATACGGCGTTCAGGTTGACGCAGTCCACGAGCATTCCTCCCTCACTTCAGGTTAAAACGAGCTGAGCTTTCTTCCATCATCTGATGGACATAATCAGAGCTCAAACTCATTCTTGTAAAAGTTTCACGTTAACATTAGATCAAGAAGACTATCCGACTCTAACTTTTCTTATATAAACCCATAAATAAAAAGTAAAATGAATAGGCACATATAGATATAGGATGGCTTAACTAATTATCTTTCATGTTGGTCCTACTACTTTTGCTCGAGTGTGCGTGTGTGTGCGTGACAAAATAGTCATTTAACAACAATTAAGGGGTTAGTAATACCTGTTCCAAATAGTGTTAGTCAAGTTTGGCCATACAGTCGATCGCAAAGATGTGGGCTAAGCAAGATCCCAACTATATGGCGAACAAATATAAGGCCAAACTTGAGGAATACTATTTGGAACAGGTAATACTAACCCCTAAATTGCGGGTTAAATACATGGATGATTATTATGTGATCTGGCCTCACAAAAGAAGGAGACTCAACTGGTCTGCTCAGTGATGCTTCTAACCTAACTCATACTCGTCCAATATGTTAGAGTAAGCTCACCAAGCAAACCAGACGTATGGGATTACGCGGCCACAGTAATATCTTCCATTGGGCAGTTAAGCGTTAATGATCCTAGACTGAGAACTTATGACAGGTGGTTTCATAACTTGACTTACACTTACAAGCTTACATCGCATTATATCAGCCATACTTGCTTACGGAATTACGTAGTCTACGCAAAGAAAAGTTGGGTTTCGAGGAATCTCTTGTTTTATAATTGTTGAGCTTACTTCCATTTCGAGTGAAAATGTCGAGTGAAGAGTTTCGAAGGTCGGTCCCACCAGAAAACGACGGCGGATTATCAGCATGAATGTTCCAGTAAAGTCAATCGAAAACTGGTCAAGAGGAATCGGCCGTCGTCTTCTGGTGGAACCGACCTTCTAATCTCTTCACTTAACACTTTCACTCGAAATGGCAGTAAGCTCAACAATTACGTTGTCTAGGTCAGGGCTTATTCTAGTGTCTTCAAACCTTGATGACCAGAGCCTGACCTTAGTCTTTTTCGTGTATTCTAATTAAGGGCCAATATATATATATATATATATATATTCGAGCAAAAGTAGCAGCACCAGTATGAAAAATAATTAGCCGAATCATTCTATATCTTTCTATGCCTGTTCATTTTCGTTTTTAGTTATGAGATCCTATAAGAGGTAAAATAAAACCGGATAGTCTTCTTGACTTTGTGTTAGTGTGAGAATTTTACAAGACTGAGTTCCAGCTCTGCTGATGTCCAGCATCAAATGGACGAACGCTCAGCTAATTTTCACCCGAAGTGAGAGCGGATGTCTCGTGGACTTCGTCAACCAGAACGTCGTATTA